TAGATACCAAAAAAGTTCTTTTATCATGATCACACACAGTGATTGTACCAAACTTTTCAGACATGATCTTGGTAAATTTAATTGACAGGTTTTTTCTATGATTATACCAAAATCTATTGATAACATTTTAAATAATGATATAACAACATGCCTCACCTCAATTCCATCTAAGAAAGTGAGAATATTTGGGTGTCTCAATGTCTTAATTCTTTTGAATGAAGATCTTGCTAGTGCTGTCTGAAATATATAAAAAAAACTTCAATTTTATATATACATGTATATATTGTATGTTATTTGATTTCAAATATAAAATTCACTTTAACCTAATTGAGAGGGAAAACGTCTGACTTTGACAAACAAGAGTGATAGACTTTTTCTTCAATTTTCTTAAATTTTTAAAACTAGGGACTGGATAATGAAGGGATGATTTCACTTAAAGTACCAAGAAGTGAGTCTTGAAAGTTGAATATTGACCAAAGAATTTTAAAGTTTACTTAGGGACATATTACATTCAAAATCCACGCCAAGTTATCAGCCTTGTACTGTGTTTACAAATGATGTTCTCAAGGACATGTTTTTTTCATTAGATTGATCTAGACTACCACGGGCACATTTTCCAAAAGTATTTTAGATATTGATAAAAACATTAGGATGGAAGTAACCCAAATATATATTTCTTACTAATAGCAATAAAATTCATTTTGTTGGATAAATGACTTTCTTATAATAAAAATAACCTTTCAACAACCAAAGTGTACTTTAACATAATCACTAAGGTGTCATCTTATGGCTCCAGTAGATTTTTCATCTTAATATCCCGAAGTTAGATGTGGCCCTAACAATCAAAACACAGACATAGCATATATTAACAAAAAGTTGCCCAAAAATTGCATAAAGGAGACAATGAGTCAAGACCAGCCTTAAATTACCTACATGTACCTACCCTTCCTGAACTAGGAGGGTTCCCAGTTTAGGAAGGGTAGGTACATGTAGGTAGTTAATCTTTTCTTTTCAATCCAAATTTTTTTCTTTCTAAAATTAAATAGAATTCAAAACAAATTGGAAATGCTTAGTCTAGAACCAACATTTCAAAGTTTCATTCAATATATCCCAATTTACATACATGTATTTACAAATAAAACAAGGGTGCCATAGTCACAAAATACGCCCGTTTACGAAAAAGCTTTAGATGGAGATGGGGGCATTATGGATAAGTGTTATCTAGCAAGCAAGTTTTTATTCTTGGCACTGTGTTGTTAAATGAACCTTAAAACAAATCAATAGGGAAGATATGCACAGAATGTGTGACCTTGACCTTGGTCGCAGGGACCTGAATTTTATGCACGGCACTCAGCCTCACAATGATGAACATTTGTGCCAAATTATATTGAAATCCCTCTATGCATGTAGAAGTTTTGCTCCAGACAAGTGTTTTTCTATGAGCTCTAACTGTGACCTTCACCTTTGACCTAGAGACTTGGTTTATGTGCAGGGCACTACGTCTCATTGGTGGTGAACAATTCTATAAAAGTAACATTAAAATTCCTCCATGCATGTAGAAAATATGCTCCGGACAACATCTGGATATTTAATCATCTCCAGTGACCTTGACCTTGCAAATATTAACCTAAAATTAAATGTGTAACACCTGTAGTCATGATAGTTACCATTTGTGCTACAATCCATCAATAAATGATGACTAAATGGTCCCTATAACCATCTTTCAAATTTTTATCTGAACTTTGACCTCTATGTGTAACCTTGACTTTGGTCGCAGGGATCTGAATTTTGCATGCGACACTCAGCCTCACAATGGTGAACATTTGTGCCAAGTTATATTGAAAACCCCCTATGAATGTAGAAGTTTTGCTCCGGACAAGCGTTTTTCAATGAGCTCTAAGTGTGACCTTGACCTTTGACCTGGAGACCTGGATCATGCATGGAGCAATACATATCATGGTGGTGAGCATTTCCCATAAAGTATTATAAAAATTCTTCCATACATGTAGGAGATATGCTCCAGACAAAATCTGGATTTTCACCATCTTTAGTGACCTTGACCTTGCATATATTGACCTAAAGTACATGTGTCACAGCCGTAGTCATTATAATGACCATTTGTGTTACAATCCCTCAATAAATGATGATTAAATCGTCCCTATACACATCTTCATATTTTTTATCATTTTTTAAACGGGCGTATAAAAAGTACATGTAATTTAATAACTAAAAAATTCTGATTTAAGATTTTATTCTAGGGAAATACATTTCATTACAATTCTTAATCTTTGAATGAGCTGAACTGATATTTACTTGAAAATTAAAATATAATTAAATTTCTATGAGAAAGTATTTACATTTGATAAGGTAATTACTGTATGATCTTTATGAACAAATACCAAGTCTACAGAACACCATAGTTATCACAGTTAAGTATCTTGACCAATGAATGAAACATGTGTAAATAAATGTTACATTCTTTACAACATACTCAAGTCCAAGAAAGAGGATTATTTCATGCCCTTTGATTAAATTTCTATTTTTAGAAAATAGATCAAGGGAGTAATTGTGTAAGTCATTTATGAACAAAGTAATAACTTTGTTGTCTCCCTTTTGATTAAATTCTATTTTACAAAATCTGGATATTTCATCATCTTTAGTGACCTTGACCTTGTATATATTGACCTAAATTATATGTATCACAGCCATAGTCTTGATAATGACCATTTGTGTTACAATCCCTCAATAAATGATGACTAAATGGTCCATATACACATCTTCATATTTTTATCTGAACTTTGACCTCTATGTGTGACCTTGACCTTGGCCGCAAGGACCTGAATCTTGCACGCGACACTCCGCCTCACAATGGTGAACATTTGTGCCAAGTAATATTGAAATCCCTCTATACATGTGGAAGTTTTGCTCCGGACAAGCATTTTTCAATGAGCTCTAAGTGTGACCTTGACCTTTGACCTAGAGACCTGGTTCATGTGCGGCGACACTGCTCCTCATAGTGGTGAACATTTATATGAAGTTTCATTAAAATCCCTCCATACATGTAGGGAGATATGCTCCGGACAAAATTGGACGCCGCCCGCCCGCCCACCCGCCCGACGCCCGCCAGGGGCGTTCCCATAATACGTCCCGTTTTTCAAACGGGCGTATAAAAATGAGACAGATATACAGAGGGAATTCTCACTGACAGACTCTGCTTCAATTTTTAGTAATAAAAATACTTTGTTTGACAATATTTTTTTGGGTAGGTGTGATTTTTGTTTTAGGAGAAACAAATAATATTTTATTTTAGGCCCAATACTTTATTCTCTTTATTTAGGTTAGCTGTGCACACATTACAATGACACCCTGCATATTATGTAACTTCCTGTAGTCACACGCTTCATGTATAACATGCATTTTTATGTCAGACTTAATCAAATTCATGAGGTTGAAGTTGAAGACCTCTGTTTGGTGCCTATTCAGACAGATAAACTACACTTGGAGGTTGGTTGTCTCTTTGAAAATGCTTGCAAATGTAGCAGCCATTCTATGGAATATACAAGTTATAAACAAATAAATCACAAACAAGTCAATAAAACACAATACTTCTGACTTGCAATCTTCTATGAAAAAACAACATTCAGTCAGAATGAAACATTACCTGTGATTCACTGCTTGATTTGACGTCAAATACAAACACAGACACATTGTCACCACCTGTCTGAAAAATTAAGAGTGAAATAATTTATATCAGCATGTGTCAATCAGATTATATTGTACAAATTACAAAAAACAAGAGTTATCATAATCTTCATTAATTTAAATGACAACAATACATCTGACACTGATGCTCCCTACCTGATGATATGTTACATGTTTATGGTTTACAGTGTATCTGATGAGGGTCAATGAGGCAAGCAATTAATCTTTTACCTTCATTCATAGTTGAAAATGATAATGGATAACATAATAGAAGTGTTTATTTTAGCTTTAGATAATCCTAAAATTCTTTTTAATCAATTCAGTTTATTTATATTATAATATAAACTTGAGAAAACAAGTTGTTATGGAACTAATACAATATTAAAATTTAAAGGAGCCGAAGTAATTTGCGAAGAAAAGGCTGACTCTTCTAGCATTTAATGTATTACCTAATATTTCAAACACTTTTAAAGAAAAAAACAGTGGTTGACACTAACAGAGTCAGGACTGTTTCCTGAGCATACAAAAATAGGCAAGGGATTTCTGAAGTCTGAAGTGGCACTTTTACTTTTTCAATAGAAAAATAATAAATAAATGAAATGAGTCAACAATTAACTTTTAATGGGTCATCAATTAACTGTTAAGTATTTATTAAAAATTGTACACTTGCAAAATGTCAAACAGAAAATGACACTTATTGTGTACAATACACGAAATTTCTCCATATAGACTTACGCCGTGCAAAGACTGATCAGTAAAAGTTTCAGAATCATTTGTCACAATACACCAATGGACAGTTTCCAAACTAGCAGACAACAGGCTATTCTTATCAGTAGAAGTTTGATCAAATATAACAAGGGTTGCATATCTCACTGTATAAAACATATGTAAAATGGTCTGACATGCGGTAGGTTTAACTGTAAATTTAAAATACATTTATTATCAAACATGTGTTGAAATATACTGAAATGAAGGTAAGATCACAAACTTTCAATTGTCTAATAAATTTTAAAAATCAGACATTAATCGCCCCCAAACTAGCGGTTTAAATGGCTAAATTTGCATTGTTTTAGCATTAGAGATATGGATTTTACCCAAAGATTAAGGGAAACAACTCATACTTTTCACTCGATATACCTCTGTTATTTATGTAGTTCATATAGAGACTGTCAGTGGATGTATTCTAAACGCAATTATCTTTGAGGTGTTCAGATTAAAAGCAATGAAAGAACAACCAAGACAAGTAATACGAAACATTTATATTACATTAAAAACAGAGAATGAACAATTTTTTTTTTATTAGACTTCCTAGTTCATAGGCTTTATCTACTTTTATAGCCAGCTCGAAAGCTGGCCCGACCTGCTCACAAAGCAAGCTTTACAGTAACGCGAGTACCTGCTTGATAGTAATGGTTTTGAAAGATTTCGTTTGACACATCACAACTTTTCGAATTACAAGATAACGATAAAAGACGAGATATTCTGATTGAAAACAGAAGCGTAGACTGGTGTCCTGCGCACATAATAGGTCAGGGAACCAGAATAAACGGAAGCAGTGTATAAAATACCGAATACGACAATTTTTAAAACGGAAAATGTAAAATAAAAATGAACAATTATTTATACTATTTCACAGTAAAAGTAAATCGAGCTCGCTTTGAGGCTTTGCCTTTTTTCATATTATGGGGAAGTCTAAGACCGGGCCCGCGAAGCGGGTCTGGGCTTTGGCTTGCCCGGCTATAGACTACACGTGTATATTTAAAAGAAAATCAAATAAAAAACAATTAAAAAATATATAGAATTCTATACCTATCAATGAAATTTTCGGTGTCAGTTCTAGTCGGGCGCCGCCATTTACAATGTAACTCAATGATAATAGGCGGGGTATTCCAATAACGGAACAAATCTCAACTTTTCGGATAAATAATAAACGTCGAGTGTTCCGAGTGAAAACGGAAGCGGTGCATGTAATAGCGAGCTGGACGAGCTGGCCCGAAGGGCCTGCTCACAAAGCAAGCTTTACGGTAACACGAGTACCTGCTAAGTGATGGTTTTGAAAACTTTCGTCCGAAGTACCGAATTGGACACATCGCAACTTTTCGAATTACAAGATAACGATAAAAGCCGATGTACTCTGGTTGCAAACGGAAGCGTAGACTGGTGTCCTGTGCACTTATACGGGGAAGTCAAAGACCAGGCCCGCGAAGCGGGTCCGGGCTTAGGCTTGGCCGGCTATAGACTACACATGTATATTTAAAAGAAAATCAAATAAAAAAACAATTAAAAAAAAAATATAGAATTCTATACCTATCAATGAAATTTTCAGTGTCAGTTCTAGTCGGGCGCCGCCATTTACAATGCTACTCAATGATAATAGGCGTGGTATTCCGATAACGGAACAAATCTCAACTTTTCGGATTAATAATAATCGCCGAGTGTTACGAGTGAAAACGGAAGCGATGCATGAAATACCGAATGACACCTTTATAACGGAAAGAATGAAAATAAATTCTTAACGACTTCCTCGCTCATAGGCTTTGCCTAATTTCATATTATAGGAACCATTATAGAAAGGGGGAACCAGAATAAACGGAAGCAGTGTATAAAATACCGAATGACAATTTTAAAACGGAAAATGTAAAATAAAAATGAACGATTATTTTAACTATCTTACGGTAAAAGAAAATCGAGCTCGCTTTGAGGCTTTGCCTTTTTCATATTACCGAATGACACCTTTAAAACGGAAAGAATGAAAGGAATTTTTAACGACTTCCCCGTGCATAGGCTTTGCCTAATTGCATATTATAAAATTATACTTTTTTTTATTTTATCATATAAATGGCATCTATATCCATATAATCACAATTATTTACCTTTTTCTTTCCTTGGTGAAGAGACCAAACTGACTTATCCTCTAAGCCAGCGACTTTCTCACCGATAACATATGCAAAATCTTTTGCTGGGTCACGAGAAAATATGGACCACATCTTCAGCACATGTATATTCGTAAGTCCATTTCAAATTATAAGTAGAAACACAAGAAATGTCAAAATGTAAACAATTTCTGCGTGTCAAAAATCTCCGGAAGTGACAAACCGGATATGTAGACTACTTTACGGCACCAATCTCTGTCACGGCATCTGTGTTGCAACAAAATCTGTCACGGCATCTGTTTTAAATTAGGGCAAACATTTCAGTTAAATAGTGAGAAGAGGATTTTGTCTATTGGATTGCTAAAATGATATGCCATGTGAAAAAATACATTTAAAAAATCCTAAAACATGTATTAGAGGTTCACAAAAAGCATGCAATAATGCTATTTTAGGGAATTTGGTACATATCCTTTAAATGTCGATTGCATAATCAGTTATATATACATGTACGTATATTTAAAATTATACAAGGTTTTCAGTGAACTTTTAAAAAATACTTAATGATGAAAGTGAAAGTTTGTATTCTTTGTACTAAAATATTCTAATTAAAATACCTAAAAGTCAATATATAATGATTAGAATTTATATATGTTATTGAACAAGAACAACTGTTGTGTAATTTTTGGTCCGTAATTTTAGAATACAATTTATGGAGTTATGGATAAATTGAAAAATGCTGTAAATAATGATTGAAAACTACGTACTTGTGCACGTAGGTAGGATACTGTTTACTGACAACTGCTTAATGCCTTCTGTTAGCCAGAGCTGCATCAGTACTAAGGGTGTAGTAATTAAGTACCAGTACCAGTACTTGGCAAATTATGCGAACCATTACCAGTACCAGTACTAGATTTTAGCTCGGTACTGCAGTACCAGTACTTTTTTTGGTGAAGTAATAAAGTATCAGTACCATTACTTTTATATATTCATCAAAGTTTGAATAAATACAGTGTCAAACAAATAATTGCAAGTATTATTCAGCAAAGAAATAAAATCATAATTTACTTTAAAGTTAACATAACATATTTACAACTTTATAGTTTTAACATACTTTTTACAAACAATATTTACAACATATATTCATGTCATATCTAATTGTTTAGTAACCAGTCAACTGTATAAATACAATGCAAACATCTTTCATTTAAACACAACAGTTTTTTGTTGCCTTTCACACCTTCACGCCTCTGTTCAATTTATAACCCAAAGTAAATAACAACTTTTTATGGTGCTAACATATCACTTTTTTCACTTGAAATGGGATTATTTAGAATAGAAGAAATTAATAAGTGTTTATTTTGCTCTTTTACTAGTAAATACAAAGTAATAAAAGATTTTCAATAAGGAATTTTAGGGTAAAGAGTTATTTAGTCTGTTTATCTTAATTTAATTTTTACTTAAAGTCTTTTTGGTGCTTTTTATGATGAATACTATGTTAACATTTGAAGGAATATTGCAGCAAATTATCTTTAGATTTGATAACTTACTTTTTCACAAAAATAAAATATAGTTAATGTAATTTACAGCTTTATTTTATGAGAAAAATTGATGCTATTTTTAATTTTTATCAAAACCAAAAGTACTGGGTAATGGCAGTAGCAGTACCACTTTTTAAGACAGTAATGCAGTACCAGTACCAGTAGTAGCAAAATTTTGTAAGAGTAATTCAGTATCAGTACCAGTACTTGCAAAATCACTGCAGTACGTACTGCAGTACCAGTACCAGTAATGCAGCTCTGCTGTTAGCTGCTTAAGGCGAATTGTTACCTGCTAAATGCCAATTTCTTACTGTCAGCTGCTTTACGCCAATTACTCGATTAAATGCCTAAAAGGAAATATTAGCTTTTTACATCCTTCTTCAACATGTTTTATATGTTACAATGGGGAACCTTTTGAAATAGTATTGGTCAAAGAATTATCAGATATAAAGGCTTATTTGATCGATAAAAACATGGAAGACGTTACATTTATAAATATATACATGTACTTCTCATTCGATGAGGATACATAAATTGTCCGCAAATCGAACTGATGCACATTTTTTTTAATGCGTTTATTTAAGGTCGCCGCCGGAAAGCCCATATGGGCGACCGTACTCTTAAGTCGGGCCATCCTAGAGCGTCCCGCCGAGATTTTTTCGTCGATTTTTGTCCAGCTTTATTGGTGGAGGAAGACCCCAGGTGCACCTTCGGGCATTATTTCAGGCACGAGCGGGCACCTGGGTAGAACCACCGACCTTCCGTAAGCCAGCTGGATGGCTTCCTCACATGAAAGATTTCGACCCGAGTGAGGATCGAACCTACAGCGGTGAGGGACCTGTGATCTCAAGTCCGCGACCTTAACCACTCGGCCACGGAGGCTCCATTTATTTTCATATAACATTTATATAAGATAAAACAGCCGCCATAAGTGACGTAATTGGCAATATGTACGAGTTTTGTATCAACGTATTTGGACGGAGGCCATTTAACGTCGCTGTTTGTACATTCAATATACATTGGTCATTTATAACTTTGCGGGGTTTTTTTAAATAATACAAGAAAGAAAATTTTTTTTACAAATATTCTAGGGCATGGTTGCTTAAAACATATATAAATATATCACAAAGACTTTTAAAATGGATTTTCATGCTCTATGCATTCGTTGATTTTCAGACAAAATTATTTAAGACGTCTTAGATATTTTAAGTGGTGTAGTCTGATAGACTTATTGGAAGATTGGTTGTGTAATCTGATAGTCGCACTGGGAGATAAGTAAGAAGAGTGCACACTCTTCCAGGTCCAAATCATATATGCCACGGTGCTTTTGTATAAAAAATTATAACATTGTTTTGTAGATGAACAAAGATATTAATATTTTGTGCAATTAACACATTTAAAGGGTTCAATTAATTATACGAAGCTTTCCAGTAGTCACAGGAAAAATGCTACTATGAAAGATGTTTATAAACTTCTTTGACAGGAGCATTATTACTAAGATGTCAGTGATTGTGTTATAATTATTGGGAAGTCGATGCATATTAAAATCATTGAACTATTTTTTAGTTACTTGGGCATGACTTATGCAAAGTTTTGTTTATATCTTTTTTTTAAATTGTGACGGACTGTGGTATCCTAAATTTGGATCCACACAATGCCTTCCACATAGAATGTCTTAGATTTTACTTTAATGTAATTATTACAGTATGATTTACAACTGATGATTGAGACATGCAATAACCACGATATAAGAAAACATATTAATTAATCACTGTATTGCTGGGCGTCCGGTTTTGTTATATTATTCTCTTGAGAAGTATGGTACCCATGAAGAGTGTTAAGGTTAAGTTTGTTAAGTTGTTTTGAAGAATTATCCTCAGTGAACTTGTCAGAAATTGGAGCTTTAGATGTATTTTCAGAAATTTCACTGGAACTGATGATTTGCATAATCTTCATTTCCCTAATACTTTCTCTTCACGATCCAAATAGATGTATAGCTTGGCGGAATTATATATACTTTTAATGTGGACCAATGTTGAATATGCGCTTCCAATATGGCCATGTTGCAGTATTCAAGAGACAAACTTTCCTTTCCACATATTAATAACCACCATTTGTTAACAATAATATAGACTTATTATTTTTTTTCCATCTATTATCTGTATAACGCCCGCTAATATTATGTCACCAAAGAATTGTGGTTCAGGCGAGCTAGACATGAACAAAAAAACAGACCAGATGATTAAAAAATTCAAACAAGAGCTGTCACTGAGAAGTGACTTATGCCCCCGAAAGGAAGCTTTGACATAAAATCTGCAATATATGCTAGACTACCGGTAATATACGCCCGACCGCCTTTGATAATATCATTCATAAAATTTCATTTATTCATTAGAAGTGAAGGAGAAATAGTCTAAACAAATTTTACTTAAACAGGATGTTAGAATTTATAGCTCTGGCTGCATTTTGTGTAGCGGAGCCGGCGATATGCACAACTAGGATTGGTAATGATCTCTTGTGAGAAGTTTCATTGAAATCCGACCAGCACTTTAACCTGTGAAAGCCGAACAAGAATTTTATATTCATAGCTCTGGCGGCCATTAGGAGAAAAAAGAACAAAAACTTAAAGACAAAGTATTAAAATTTTAATAAAGAATACTAATACATCTTAACACTTGATGGTCCTCTATCGATGACTGGCTTCAAGAGAACTCAAACAATTGAACATGTGTATTGTCTCCAAGTAAAATATTGTGTACAACTAAATGTGAAAACAATGGACGAACTGACAAAAAGTGGAATCTCAACACTTTAACAACTTAACACTTTGTGGCCCCAAGTAAAATATTGTATGTACGCTAAATGAAAAACATTGATAGACCAAATACAATGGAATTTAACACTTTTCAGCTTGAATTTTGAATTTTAAAACAATCTTAAACATCAATAGATGCATGGATGTTCATACCCTATGTTCATGAATACGATTGCAGACATTTATATAAAATACTAAAATTGAAACAAATTAAACGACATTCGTATTTAAATAGACTGAGAAAATTTTGAAATATGAGGTTGAAAATGGTGTTATTTCTATGGAGGGTTATTTATGCCAAAATTACATCTTGCTTTCTTACGTTACATCGTGCTTTCTAACTTGTACATTGTGCTTCCTTACTTGTACATCTTGCATTCTGACTTTTACAATCTTGCTTTCTTACATCACCCCCCCCCCCCCCTTATGCTCCTGCTGTGTGCGTCTTGCGTAAATTAATGATATCGTTATTTAACTATAATTAAATTTGTTGATTGGTAATTAATTAATTCAAATAACTTAACTCTTTTAATGTTTATATTTGGGTCTATTTACTTTCAGCTTGAATTGACGAATGTCATTTAAGGTAGAAGAACGCATAAGCCGAAACCGAAAGGCAGCAAGCAAAATACGACGCGCCCATCTGGTGTAATAATGTTGACCACCCAAAAATTATCTAACAGGTGGCGCTACAGTTATATTCTCGGTAAAATCCGTATTGCGATTCGGATTCAATTAAATTTTCCCCAAATTTTTTTAAAATTTTCATTTCCCCTATGGAAGGGAAAAAAGGTTAAAAAAATATATTCAAAAAGATTGCAAGATTAAAAAAAAAGAATCAAATAAAAAAAAAAAACTTTTTTTTTTGCACTTTAAAACCCTTTAA